TCTGACGTAAGAAAACAAATAGATTAAATGGTGATAATTAGATTATATTATTCAGATTATATGGTGGTAGTTAGATTGTATCTTTTAGATTATATGGTGGTAGTTAGATTATACAGTGGTATTCAGATTATATGGTGGTATTCAGATTATATGGTGATATTTAGATCATATGGTGATATTCAGATTATACAGTGGTATTCAGATTATATGGTGGTGATATAATCTAGGGTAAGTGGAATACCACCATGTGATATAATTATATCACATGGTGGTATTCCACTATGCCGATCCGAATGTCAGAAGCAGATTTTTGTTTAAAAAACAACAAAATTGTTGTTTTTTTAACATTAAAACACCATTCCAAACATCGGAGGCAGATTTTTGTTAAAAAACAACAATTTTATTGTTTTTTAACATTAAAACGCTATCCCGAACGGTAGAGGTGGATTTTTGTTAAAAAAATTTTTCGATTCGTCAGATACGAATACGGATTCAGATTTGTCAGATTCAGATATGGATTCAGATTCAGATTTTTCAGATTCAGATCAAATCAGATTTTGCCCAAATCTGATCTGATTCGATCCGTGCGGAACAATAAAGTAGAGGATGGATCTCAAGACTAAAGATGGATACCATAATTTAGAAGTTGCAACTCAGTAAGTTGCAACTCCTTGTAAAATTATTTTAATATAAAAATTCATAAATAGTTGCAACTAGTTAAAATTTTTAAAAATAATTATGGGAACCATCTTTACTTAAGACAAAGCAGAAAGATTTATAAAATTAGTACATGGAAAAGACAAAAACCAATTTATAGCTTGAAATTAACTTATCCTCTCTTTTGAAGCTATTGCTTCTGTAAGAGATAGCAGTTTACTTTAAGTTTATAAATAGTGAAAACATTTATTTCCTAAAGGTCTATGACTGAAGAAGGATATAATTCATTTAGACTTTGAAAAAAGTATAGGTTCTACTGGTAAAGCTCTAAAGCTAATAGTAAAATCATATCCAAATTTGGAATATCTAAATATTTCTTATTGTACAGAATTTACTGAAAAATCAATTTGTAATGTTATTTATTTTTGTCTAAGGCTTCTTAGCTTTTGTAAAATTACCAATGTGACTATCGAAGAGATTGCTAGATCATGTCTTAATTTAAAATACCTTGATCTGAAGGGGTGTTATAAAATTAGCAAATAAGCTGGCTGGTATTGCCTATCAGAATTTATCACAATCCTTTTTAGCTAATGCTTCAAATTTGAATGGAGTTGAAATGGAACGACATACTAGAATTTCCATCAGAATTTGATACAGGCTTTAGATCAGATATACCAGTAACCTAACAGATGATCACCAAGAAATTATTTCGATAGAATACTAGCTGATCAAGTAGAATAGTAGTACTCTACTAATCTAACTAATCCGAAGCAGTGATCATCAGCTCGAAAGATTTTTTGTCAAGCCAAATGCATATCATAAGAAGACTTTCTTCTAATTGGTTGAAAAATTGATCATCATTTCTATAATAAGTACGATTGACAAAAAAACTATTCAATAATAAAACAATTAAATATATAGCAATTATAGTTGTACAATCTGCAACAAGAAGGTAATTTACAAGAAAGAGAATTTCAATATATAGAGAATATATATAGAACTAATAAAATTATAAATAATATAATAATATAATAACTAATTATAAAATTCTGATATAGATGTTTATTTTATTATATATTTCATAAAAATAACAAAAAGTAACGAAAGGTAAATATTAAAATGTAATAAATTATTAGTTTTATCTTTCATATATTCAGAAAATATACAGATTTCTTTATTTTTTAATATAAATTTGTAACTTTTTACTAAAAATTTTTAAAACAAGTTCTATAACAATATAAAGAACTTTAAGCTTCGTATTATAAAAATGCCACCTATAAGCAAACTTTTTTGAAACTGAGATTATTTTGGATTATTTTTGCAGGTAATTAGTTAGCATTCCAAAGAAGCAACGGTAAGATTTTTTTTTTACTTAATGTAACTTCATTTTCTGAAAAAGTACTTTAAACTATATATAATATCCGATTTAAATTGATTTGCAATAGTCAATCATATGAAAGTCTTCCTATGAACATGCATATACTCCCATTGTATTACAAAAGACAGCTATATTAAATTTTCGAATATATGAGGACTTGGAAATTGTTTGCAGTGAAAAGGTAAGCGGACTTCGCAAGGAAAAAAGAAATGTTCATTTTCAACCTATCACAGTTTGAAGGAGATGTTGGAGAAATACAGCATTGATTCCAATGGCATAAAAACCATTCCATTCAGATTCACAAAATTCAGGACAATAATAAATATTTCGAATATTACATGAACAATATTTTTATTCCGAATGAAACATTACGGATCATTGGTCATGGATAGTTTGGAATCTATGCGCAATGATTATATCTCTATCATACTTCATACCTCCCTTCATATTGTGGAGACTTCACGAAGAAGGCATTTAGCATGAGGCCTGAATCTGAAATAATTGAAGAAAATTCCAGACGAGCTGATTATGCAATCAAGGTATGTGAATTTTTTCTTGGCAAATTTGGACGACGGCCTATCACTGAAATTTTTTGGCATTTTTCAACTGAGAATATACTAATGCTATATTCCCTTCTAGAAGGCAGAGAACCTTGTTTGCGTTACAGAAGACAAGGTCCAGCATAGATTACTTGAAGGCTTCGCCTAAAACATCAAGCAATTTTGAGAGCTTGTATGAAATGAACAAGAAGAAAGAGAGTAGATGATGATTTCGACTACTCTATAGTATCGTGATTTCGGCCAGAAATTGGCATTTTCTGCTTTACAGTCTAGGTGAGATTAGTTATTCGAGTGAAATTCCTATACCATCAAAGATAAAAGATCTGAGAAATATCAAGCGTTATGTAATGAAGAAGGTTTTGAGGATAAAGGATAGAATGTGTGCGGATGAATCTCCAAAGAGTAAAAAATTTAGAATAGAGGCGTATCGCTCGAAAAAATAATTTATGTATATATTTCACAAACATTAACATAGAAACAGGTAACGTTCCAAACTATGTATTTATTTTTCGTCACTGTATTAATAAAAAATTTTTTCTTTGGCAAAAGTGATCTGGTTACAGTCCGCAACAAAGTGCATATATTTTTTTTCGAGTTTGAATAATAATATACAGTGCATAAAAATTAATTATTGAGTATTCAGTCCAAGGATATTATTTTGCTTAGAGAAGAAAATACCAGACTTGTGGCTTAATATCACTGAGCTTGAGTCAAAAATTTCAAGGTTAAGCCAAAAATACGAAGCTAAGAGCTGAGCTTAAGAGCCGAACCAAGGAGTTGGAAGAAAAGTAGAGCAGATATTACTATTGAGAATGCTAGACATGATATTGAGATTGCAGAGGTAAATTCCAAAATAGTGAAACTAAGAGACGCCAACGAGAAAACAAACAGCAAACCTTTCTACAATCTAAGATTATTTCTGAAGAAATAATTTCAGGAAATAAGTAGAATAGTGTTATTTTGGCTTTGAGCAAATGTGAGAGGGCAGGTCATCAAGATATCTACATTCCCTGAAGACCGAAATATGCTGTATATAAACGTTTCCCTTTCCTATAATAGACTAAATCAATTACATGGTATCATGATATCAAGATGCTTTTGAATATACTGATTCTAAAGACAACTACCTGGAAAGTAAGAGTATTCACACACATCGGGGTATAACATGTATGGGTGATTGGACTTGCCGGGACAAAAATAATTTCTATTTTCTTATGTGTCCCTGGGAGATGGTCACAATTGTTGAAACAGTCACATGAGATCGATCACCTGAAAATATATTCGGACTATTATAGTCAGGGTTGGGAAGTACAGTGTTAGTACAATAATTAGTACAGTTAGTACAGTTAGTACATTATAATAATTAATATAAAAATTAGTACAAGTACAGTACAAGTATAGTGGTAATTTTATCTAGTATATACAAAATTCCCAACCCTGATTATAGTCCTCCTCTCTAACTCATTAGAAAATGGCAAAAGCAAAAATTCTTGAGAAGATTGGGAATGCTGGAATGACGTGAACGTAAATCCAAATGGCGCAAGTCGTATTCAATAAAGAGACAAAGTTACATTCTATAAACTGAGCATGCAAGAAAAGTCTTGTGATGAAATTTCAAATTCATCTTGGAATGAGAATGTTAATGGTTGTAGTAATATAATCATCCTTAAAAGAGGTAAGTATTCCTCAATCCACCCGAAGTACTTTCAATACTTTTGTATGACTTTATTTTTCTAAAGATACAGAAATGATACAAAAATAATGTGTCATAATGAGGACCTTCGAGATGTCACCGATGACGTTTGCGAGATGATATCTGAATGGTATACCCAGTGTTGTATACAAACGTTGTCTCGGTGATTTTTGGCAGATACAGGACGTCTAAAATCCATGTCCAGGACTGTGTTCACAGAAAAGTTGGGACATGAACTGTTATTAGGTATCTTTTGGCCAGAATTAATAAAAGATATAGTCAGCATTAATGCGGAAAAAAGTCCCAGATATAAAAATCTTGGACATGAACACAGATAGTCTGGTCTGGTCTGGTTCATGTCTGTGTCTGTGTCTTATGACAACACTGGATATACCCGTCTTCTGTATCACTATAATATAGCATTATATGAAAGTGATCAAGTTGATACAATTAAAAAGTTAATGGAAAGAAGCATCAATTAAGATGTGCATATTAGAATTGAAAGAGCATCTAAATTTTTAGGAGGAATAACATTTAACGAACTAACTGCAATTAGTAGTTATAAACTAAGGCGGAATGCAAAAGTTCACAAAGTGAATTGGTTGACACAAAATGTTGCTCTTAAATGGTTGGACATAACTGTTGCTCAAATGACATCAGAATGCAAAAAAAGCAGTTGAAAAATGTATGTTAAATTTCTTAATTATAATAAAAGATTTAAATGTATGTTGATGAATTTTTCTGTGAGCAAATCCTTAAGTTAGGTGATGCCTCAAAAAAATTCATCCAAATCAATGACATCAGTAAGTTCATATTGCACTAATAGTTTTTCATAAGACTCACGATCATAATTTTTAGCAAGTGTTTTACATATAAGATAATCTTCTTCATATTTATCAGAATTAGCAATATTTCCTTATTATGAAAAAAAATAATTAAGATAAAACACGTCTTAGATAATTCATGATAAATATGATTACATGATTCAATAAATAATAATATAGTTTCTTATAAGAATAAAGCAGTATCGTCTTAAAAAGAATACCTTTTTCCTGTTTTTCCTATTTCATCATATCGACTGCGCTGTGATCTAGAATGAGCACCAAACCATTTACAGACAAATGGTGTTATTGAAGCGACACTTTCAGACATGTAATATAATGATAGCAATGATTTGAACTAAATTTCGAATTTTTTTCTAGAACTTTATTTTTACTAGGATTACTAGGGACACTAGGAACAAACAAAGAAAAACATAATCAATAAGCTTAAAATTCTAAAAATGATATTATAGTTGTCCTAGTAAATGTTCTTAGAAAAATTTCCTTAGGAACATTAGGGATAGCCTGCAAAAAATCGATATATAAACCAACTAATTATAGTTATCAAAAATGGTATTTTATCAATGTTTTTATATTCTCAGAAGTGGTAAAGTTTGCAATCGGGATGCTACTAACTGGAAAGATGCCAAATTTATTGGAAAAGATGTCAGCGAAACTCTTGCAAACAATATGAAAAACCAACTACCTCAATTCATGGTATGTGTAATTTACATGTAGATAAGTATTATTCAAAAACATATTACCATAGGAAGAAGCTAAATGCCTTAAAAAAATCTGCACTAAGTAACCTAGATGGTATAGTAAAATTTTAACTTTCGGAGGTAGAAGCAAAATAGCAAATTAACTTTATTAGAACGCTAGAACGAATTCTCAAATAGTCTACCCTAAGTAGCTTAGCTAACATAGGAAATTTTGACTTCTTTACCATTCTACTTTTTTTTTCTATAAACATATCAACATATACCATATACATATCATACATAAGTATATATATAGCAAAATATAGTATAGAAAATTTCAAAATTTTTATAGAACTCCATTTTTACTAGGATATCTAGGATACTTAGAGAAGACAATACAAGAACAAATTGAATTGAGAAAAGAACAATTTCTCTTATAACAAATTCTGCCTTAGGAAGTAGTTCAATAAAATTTATGTTCTAAAACGCTCAAAAAATTAGCATACATACTGCCTTGACTTATTTTAAATCATGATCAAACCTTAGAAGTATTTACATTCTACAAACATCCTTTAAAAGTAGCAAAAAAATTAGCAGACTTTGTGATGGAATATATCTGCAAGTAATTATTCAATTTATCTTAAATTTGGTATATAGATAGAGCAAGAGAAGGATTTTCAATCAAGTCTAAGATGCGGAGTTATTATATCTCAAAGATTAGGCCAAAATTATGCTATAGTACTGGCCAAAATTAGGCGAAATTCATCTGATCATGTGATATTGCGCGGATTTCTATTAGATGTTATCTGACACTAAGCATTTTTTTACCATAATTTGATATTTAAACAGGCAATCAAGCAGGCATAAAAGGTAAGCACATCAATATAGAATTGAGAATCTATTCAGACATAGAAAGTCAGTACTCTTGACATAAAACTAGGTATCTAAATGGATACAAATCACCACCAATAAGCGAATATCTATTTAACAATTGGATAACCATAGATATTCACAATCGTAAAATATAATAGAAAGCATTTATTGATGCATAAAACATAATAAAAAAGGCATATTCAATTATTTAGACATAGACATATCTAGGTTGTTTAATTACATGATCACAGTTTATATATAGGAAAAAGGTAATGAAAAATAATTTCAAAGGCAAGAAATATAGTAAGTAAAATAAGAAGGTATAAAAAATTGACACACTTAAATTATTTAATTAGATTATTTAATCATATTTAGGTTATTAACATTTAGATTATTTAGTTATATTTAGATTTTTTAGTAATATTTAGATTATTTAGTTACTAAATAACCTAGTCCAAGCTGATTTGAAAAAGCTTACAAATATTAAAATAATATTTCTAAATATGATAATTAATAGTTAATATTACTTATGCAATAAATAAATAAAGCATATTTTCACATATTAAATTTATTATTTGTATATATTTATACATAAAAAAATTTTTAATTAAAACATATTATTTGTATATGATGTGTTATATATTTACTATGCTATGCATAAATTGTTTTTTATTACAAATTTATACCCTAATTATTAGAATTATTATAAAAAATTATTACTTTAAAAATTTGTTTATTTACTTATATTTTTCTATTGATAAAATTTTTTTTTTCTCTCTCTCTCTCTCTCTCTCTCTCGAGTTTTCCGAACCACAAAATGACAAATATCCCTAAAATTTTATTTAATAATTAATTAGTATTATTTTCTTATTTATAAGTTATTAAGAATAATTAAAAAATTGAATAATAAATAAATTTTAATAAAATAAATAAGATTTTATCAGAATATAATATTTGAACTAATAAAAATATAAAATTTCTTATTTTTTTTCTTTATAATATAAATAAAATTTTAACTTTTAATAAATTAATGAAAAGAAGAAAAAGAAAAAAAGAAAACCCTATTATTTCAAATTGTTTTATTTTTTTAATTAATATTCATTTCTAATTGTATTTTTTAATAGTTCCAATTACTTAACTATCTTTCTTTTAAAAATTAATGTATCTCTTGAAAATAAAAGTCACTTTTTGACCCTTATCGTCCACCTTAAGTTTCAAATTTTTGCTACTAAAAAAAGCGCCTTTGAACTGTATCAATCGTAATCACAACAATTCGGATCTTTCGCGGATTTATACAAGAGGCATATCATATTAAGCTTTTCCCTTTAGATCAACTACATCCATGAAAAAGACCGACATTTGTGTTTTATGGAAAAAATTCTGGTTTCGAATTCTGTCCATTCAACTTTGAGTACGCGGTGCCCAAAATCGGTGACTTTGTTCTTCCCTTCGAAGGATTAAAAAACGAACCACAAGATGACTATAATAGTAAAAAAATTTAGGAAAGTCCTTTTTTTTGTTCAGAATCATATTTAAGTTATCCTTCAAATCAAGAACCGCACCAAAACGGTTATTATTACTTTATCATTTTTACAACTGCGAAACCGTTTAAGTTTTGTAATGAAAGACTGGACCTATTCGCTCGGTATTATATTTTTTGAGCTCTATTTCCCTTCTTCTTCGAGATATGAATGATTTCACAATTACTTGGCCATTAACAAAAAAATATATATTCAATAAAACTAAAATGCAAAACAGCAATCATCCCCATATTACAAAATTCTTAAATAATTATTCTTAATATAGTAAATGATATTTGAGATTTGTTGGTTGATCTTTATTTATGGTGTATTTTCTCTCTCTCCTTTTAACAACATAACGATCTAATAAATAAATATGCCAAATTTAAGGGTAAATATCATAAGCATTCTTCACGATCTATAATTTTTAATGAAATATTCACTCGATCTTAAACTTGGTTATTAGACAACGTTTACAAATATACCACAGACATCTAAAGCAATAGTGTTTATAATAATTTGTTCATCAGGGCTTGGAGCGCTTCAAAGTGTTAAACAATGGCTGAATATTGGGCATAGCTTCCCTTCAAGTGCCTCACAAGGTTTGGCCGTTGTACCAAATTCTGCACTTTGGGAATGTTGGACGTTTATAACCGCGAGCTTTTATGAAACCAATTTAACATCCGTAGGTGGTTTGCGTGTTTGAAATCTTTGTTAATTTCCAAATTTCTGGCTAATTCTTATTATTATTCAGTTCATAGGAAGTGTTCTTACAATCCTTGGAATAGGAAAATATTTAGAAAGAGCATGGGGATCGAGAGATTTTTTAATATTTATAGCAATCGTGATGATTGGAACGAATATAAGTGTCTTTCTAACATATTTATGTGAATATGCGATCACAGGATATGTATCTTACTTGTAAGTGTTATTTATTTACTTATAATTTTACGCGTATCATTATTTTTTATTTTTATTTTTATTTTCAATTAGATTTCAAGTAATAAATGGTATGATTGGGTTGATTAGCGGATTTTTAGTAGGGTTAAAACAATTGATACCAGAACATTTGTTAAAACCAGTTAAAGGGTTATCTTTATGTAGAGTAAAGCATTTACCAAGTTTATTTGTATCCATAAGTTTTGCCTGCTTTTTATTGTTTGAATCACAAACACAATTCCTTCTAGTATTTTATGGTAGCTTTATTTCTTGGGTGTACTTGAGATTTTTTAAATATCAAGATGGTTTAATTGGAGATCGTAGTGAAACCTTTTCCATGGCCAGTTTTTTTCCGGAATTTATTCAGTAAAGTATATTTATACTCGTAATTTTTGTTTATTTATTTATTTTATTTTTAGTTGATGATTGATTGATTATTTCTTTATTGTTATACTTTTCTTTTTTTTTTAAAAAAAAAAAAAAGACCTGTCGTGAAAATCATTTCTACCATCGTATTTAACATTTTGGTAATGTTAAAATGTTGTAAACCGATATCAAAGAGGAGATTTGCAATAGACTTGGAAAATCTTCCAACAACTTATATACCTACTATGCCAGGTAGTCAAAGGGCTGAAGCGGAGAGAAGAAGGTGCGTTATACTCTTTTTTTTTTTAGTGCAATTTATTCTCGCGTAATTAAATCTTTGTTGCGTAAATTTTTGAACTCCTTTACGCTTAAATGATCTTTATAGGGCGTTGGCATTAAAAGCATTGGATGCCAGATTACATAAACAAAATTATGAACCAACATCACCACCGCCATTTACCACGTCGCTATCATCTTATACTGCTTCAACATTTACTGCATCGCCACCAAATTCTTCATCTAACAACATTAATGGAACCACCATCGCGAACACAGATTCCTTACATATTAAATCCATACAACCAAATGATGTTTTGTTTGATGCAAAAGACCATTTAAAACAAGACTTATAAAAAATATATAAATACATACACACTAACAAAAAAAAAATGATTGGAGAAAAGTTCTCAAAAACAAGTATTAATAGTATATGTATATATATATTTTTTTTTTAAAATATATCTCTATTCGTTTTATAACAACATAACTAATTACTTTATTACATACATTATATAAATATTTAGAACAATATATTTTCAAATCTTGCATTATCAATAATAATAACTCAATAACGCATTAAAATCTCAAGAATGTAATCTTTTTTTTTTTTTTGTATTTTCAGTTCAAAATGTTCAATTTATTTCAAAAAAAAAAAAAAAGAAAAAGAAAAAAAAAGTTAATAATAAAGTTGATTTCTAAATCGCCAAAATCGATTATCGTCATTATTATTCGTCGGATGAGAATTGATTTAATAATGCCTTGATATTTTGTCAAATGGGTGGTAATATAGGTGGCATCTTGATTTTGACTAGGTAATTGGTAGGATTTCTTCGTGATTAATTTCTAAATTAATATTAATAAAATTATTATTCAACTCTTCAATGTACGATGTCGTAGTTGACTCATAAGTTGCCTCATTTTCATCAAGCAAAATAAGATTTTCTATAGGTTTCAAAGGAGATGCGATCGCATTCACATTAACCATTTCCATTGTCCTCAAATTCACAGTTTTATTCATGTCCGATGTGCTTGCGTTATTAATTAATAACTCGATCTCCCCCGCGGTATTTGCCGAATTATCTTGTTCATTTAAAGATAAATCGCTTGTATTTTGGGGTTGACCATAAAATTGGGAGATGTCATCATCATATCCTTGGAAATAATGTTGCTTATTTAAAAGGAACGGGGAAGTAACTGGTATAGAAGGCAATGGTGGTGAAAGTTTATTTAATACATGTGATGCACGTTTACGTATATCTACATCCTTAATCGTATCTAAGATGCGATTAATTAAAGGCAAACATGGTAATAATTTTGAATGCGACATCGAGGGAACTATTTCCAACAATGAATGAATGATTAATTAATTGATTGATTGATTGATTTGGTTGATTGATTGATTGAAAATAAAGATTAGCATGTAAGACTGTAAATCGCAATTATTAAATAAAATGCTTTCGATTTACCATACCTTCGGTTGATAAATTATCTAATGCCCTCACAATATGTCTTTGGATCTCTACATCAGCAACAGGCGAATCTCCGATAGCAATAAGTGTAGGTACAATACTACCAAAGGATTCTTCTTCTGACTGCTGACTATGAACATCTTGTACTATTTCCTCTCCTTCTCCATCTGTCATAGACATTGGGTATGATAGCATACGCGCCTTATTCTCATCTTTTGGAAACCAAAAGTAAATTATATTAGTAAAGAATCTATATAAGATAGTAATTGAAATGGAGGTAATTTACCATATAGAGCAAAGTTTGCTAATAATCGCGCCACGTGCCTATATATATATATATATTTATTTACATTTTTTTTAAAAAAGAGATCTAGAGTTTGTTTTATTTAAATGATATGGTAATATACCTCTGAATTTCTTTATCTGTGATGAAACAACCAACCACTTGGCATAAATTTGATAATAAAGATGGTTGACTAATCAAAAGTTGTTGTGATTCGACTAAAAAGAAAAAAAAATTTTTTTTTTTTTAAAAAAAGTTTGATGATAATGCGTTAAATGATCCATAGATATTGCAAGAGGAATATTTCTTTTTAAATATTAATTACCGTTTGTCGCCAAATTAGCCTAACGAATAAAATAAAACAAAAATTATTAAGATTTTAAAAGGGAAATTTTTTAAAGGGAAATAAACGCACCATAGCACAACACGCATGAGATATTGTAGCTTGATTAGCTTTTGCTGAATTTTCATCAACAAGTTCAATAACAGAAGTTAATGTTTCGGCTCTACCATCTTTAATCAAAGTAGACTTATACTTGTCTAGAAAATTAATGGTAACAAGGTCAACACTTAAATTTAAGAACAAAAATTTATCCCAAATCCAACATACCATTCCTTAATGATAAATACGCAATAGATTTGGCAGCATATTTACGAACTTCAAAAGAACTAGAATGTAATAAATCCATCAATCCATCCAATCCAATTTTAGGATTTTCAAAAATTAAAAGTTGGTGTGATGCTAAAAAAATAAAATAAAATAAAATAAAATAACACTTTCAATCGTTGACAAAAAAAAATGAATATGTTTGCTTACGATTAACTGCTATACATGAGATGGTTTTTGCAACCAAACCCCTCGCTATTTCAACGCGCAAACGCATTTCTTCATAAGATAAAAGTATATCTTCATCTAATGCTTCATCTTCTGTTAGCGTTTCTAATTGAAAATTTGCTAATTTCATTATTGATTCTAATGCTCCTACATCTATTAACATCCGCTGACATAAAGATCCTTTTGAATATATTATATTATTATATTTTTTATATATTATAAAGAGATTTTAAATTAAATTCTTTCAAAGGGATTTATCATTTTGAGAGAGAGAAATTTTACCCTACCTGTAGCGGATAATAAATGAAGGATATTTCCAATATTTAGTATGATAGTAGAAGCAGAATCCAAAAATTTTGCCGCATTTGAATCTAATGATGAAGTATCAGAACTTATTTTTCTACAATAAAATGATATTAAATTATATAAATAAGGAAGTCCCCCTTTCATAATAACGTAAGATTTAAATGATTCTAGAAAAAAAAAAGTATTTATTAATGATATTAACCAAATGTTCCCCCATATTTTTTTCCTACTTTATAGGAAATGAAAGATTTACCGTATCCTGATAGATTAGCTAATGCCGTTGTTCCTAATTGATGTATATCATTAGTATGTAATGGTCTACATAAATAAACCAACGCGTCTAATCCACCATAAGTAATCAAATTAGACAACTCATATTCTAAATAAGAGAAAAAAATTTTTAATACACATTGTTGATATAATTTATACAATGAAATGCGAATTACCATTTCCACGTTCAACAATATCAAGTAATCCCCTAGCACCATGCGTCTACCGATGAAATCAAAATTTTATTATTGTTCTTTTTTTTTAAAAAAAGGAATTTATAAATTAACAAAATTGATTATACTTTAGTAGATTTTTCATCAGAAATTACATATCCAACAAGGTAAGCGATCTCAAAACATTCATTGCAAATCCTTTCAGGTGTTACATAACCAAATTGGGGCAATGAAATTTTCCTTGATGTACAATCCTGGCAAAAAATATTACCACTATTTGGTTTTTTTTTTTAAAAAAAACGGAAAAAACTTTTTTTAAAAATAAATAAGATTTTTGGTATAATTTATGTATTTTTTTTTTTTTGCTGCTTACCATTGGCGACAATGATGCTAAAATGATTAAACACACATGTATATAAAAAGAAAAGTTGATTTATGAGATGAAAACCAATAAAAATTATCAAAAAAAAATTAACTCAAACCTTTCTTCTGAGAGCAGTAAATACAATACCGCAACCTTTACAATTTTTCACAGTTACATCATCAACCCAAACAGGTCTAACCAATAAAAATCCGTCCAACAATTCATTTTGAAACAATGAATTATTTTTAGAATGATTATTAGACATTTTTAAATTATTATAAGCAAAAAAGAAAAAAGAAAAAAGATAATAATAAATAGGTAAAATAGATTTAATTACGAAATAAAATGTAGAAAGGAAAAGGAAAAGAACACACACGTTATTTATATTTGAAATTTGATTGAGAATTTTGGCCAATGAAAAGACTCCAAGTGATGCAGTTAATCAAAATCGGTATCTGCAAAATGGAAACACAAACAAATAACATTATTGCGTGTAATGAATCATAACACGGGAAATTCGATAACAAAAAAATCCTTGTTCATTTCTGGATATCCAGATATCCAGATATATTATGATGCATTCGTACTAATAATATATTAATTCCAACCAGTTGAGCGTGTTGGTCAAGGTGAGTCAACATGACCTGCATTTGTTCGATTTGTTCGCCTTATTTTGTTTGAAGGTTGTATTAAGATCTAAAACAAATAATATAATTTTTGACATCCGATATAACGGAAAATTTATTGATTGGCTAATAATAAATTTAACAAGTAGAACAGATGAGATTATTTTAGGTAAAACAATGATATTTATTTATTTAATTCAGGCCGAAATACTTTGTCAAATGAAATGATCCTCCTCGATAAGATTGCACAGTGTCACACAAATCACGTAATTGTAATTAACTTCTAGAAAGCAAGTTTTGTTTTTGAGAAATTGCATATCACGGATGCTCATGGAAATAAGTATCTTTGAAGTTATCTTTTTATTCAATGTTAAGAATGAGACTTGATTTTCTTTTCAGGGATCTTTTGTGAAATAAAGTTGGAAATTTCAGATAAAAAGTGAAAATTATTACAAAAAAGTCCAAAATCATTTGTAAATAAAAAATTTTTCTTTAAATTATTCAATTACTCAATCTATTCACAAAGTAACTTTGTTCTCATTTATTCTTCTATAATAACTTATCTCCTTTCAACGCATCGTCTTTTACGATTCATCCTTATCTCTTTAGAATTCTCCATCTTTCAATAAGCAGATTCAACAGCAATCATAATTTCTTTAATCTTTTAATGATCAGTAATTTCCATACTAAATTTTAGATAGGACCTTATTAATTTCATAAACAAAATTGAGCCTGTGTCCATCACATGTGATCCAAAAATATAGTTAAGATTATAACGAATTAATTTTACAAATAATCCTTTTTGCAAATTTATAATAAATTTTAATAAGGTTTTTTCTTCATTAAACTTATCCGCAAGAAAAAGATTAAATAAAAAAATAAAGAATCTTCGTATAATCAATCGTTTATACCTTTCCAAAAAGAATGTTAATTAGGATATTCTGCGAATCCTCATAATATAAATAATGATCCATCCGCCTAATCCTTTTTTAGTTAAGAGGAGCCCTTTTCCTTCTGACAGAAAGATTTATAAAAAGGGAATATTTAAAGATCGAAGCACGTGATAACGTGGATTTCCCGAGTTTTTCATCGTAAATCCCATTTATCACGGTGATACAGGAAAAAAAAATCACATTATGACATATATGGAATTAAGGGGGCTTACATAATTCTTTATTTTGAAAGATGAAAGACCTCATTATAAATCCATCACAATTTCGTTTTCAGGTTAATGAAATCGAAGGTTGAATCCTTTTTCGGTCATTTTTCAACCTCTTGTTTATTATTATGATGATGATGTAAAGTTATAAGTTGCTTTTTAAAAAAGGGTTAAACCGAATTATTAGATTTATTAAACTTGGTTTTAACTTAAAAGAGTACTATATAATTTTTTTATATATACAAATAAGTATTAAAGATTTTCATTTATACACAAATTAGTATTAAAATGAAGAATTCGAAATCTACTCAAAGAACTTTCATACTACCAATGACTTGTTCTTTGGGAAATATGCAAGGAAGAAAAAAATTTTTTTCACTCGGAAAATCAACCTACCAAAAAAGATTTACTATAATTATATTAGATCATCAATTATGTAATTGTAATAAAAATATTGTTATATAGTATTATAGTGGATTACTACTTTGGTAAAAAAAAAGTTTGTTTTGCCATTGGTAATACCATCAATCTTTTTTTCTTTTTCATATGTTCCAAGGATCACAACAAATAAAACAACATCAATAACTCCATTTTTGTACCCTCTATTTAATAACAAATATTATTTTCGCATGGATAAAATTCGTGCTAGCCAATTTTATTTTTTAAAAGTATGTCAGAAGATGTAATCGCCACAATCTGGGGGGCTGCAACAAATCTATCCTTTTATGCTTAGTAAGTGTTTATAAAAATATTATAGTACTGGATACTTGTGTGGGGGGACTGAGCGGAGAACACTATCATCGGCTGATTATTTAGGTTTGTCCAAATAAAGTTCTTTCTAAAATTATGTAATTTCCGATCATCTTCTAATCTATTTTTAGTATTAAGGCTTTTTAAGGCTATTACAATCATTGTTCTTCTTCGGAATACGAATACCTGCTGCGCCATCATACTTCATCGATTATTATTATTATTATAAAAAAAAAGTCCTTTATTATTCAGGTATATATAATATATATATAAAAAACTAATTACACTACTAACTAAATTAACTTACTCAATATAATAAGAGAATATAAAGAAAAATGATCCAAAATTTGTTCTACAAATTTAACGACGACTACTAATTAATTAACAAATTTCTTAATCTCATTTGAAAATACTGCTTTTCTGAACTATTAGTTTTTCCCTCGCCAAAACAACTATACATACATACATACTATATATTTAAAACAATATGATGCGGGAAATTCATTCACATGTTGATTTTATATTTTATAACGAATATCATAGGTAAACGAACCAGAGAATTAGTTGTGATTAAAAATCATTCTTAACCTATTTTCATTAATTGAAGAAAATGATATGGTTTAAAATTTACAAAAAAAAAAATTAAAATTATTATTTTGAGAATTGTTAATCTAATTCCGTAGGCGATTGCGCCACACTTCCGCTAGCACTTTGCTCTGATTTTCGCCTTTCTCTTATTTGATCTCTTTCACGTTGTTCGCGTTCTGAATGTGTTGATCTAGGTGAAAGTGCGTCTTCCCTTCCAGGTGTAGGTGATGAGGTCTTGTTTCGTTTGTTTAAATCTTCGCGGTTACGTTCATCTATCTCATTTTCTCCAGATTTTGGTGATGAGTAAGATCTTTTTTGTCCTGAAGTAGATGATGATGCACCACCTTCAACCGATGCATCTGCTGCTGTTGTATCATCGTAATCTTCATCGATATGGCGTGTAGATGGATTTGATGGTCCACCTCTATCAACAGACGTCCTTATTGCTGGTAATATTGGTTTATCTTCATGAGTACTAGGTGGACTGTTCGATGGATGGTTATCTATGATGCGTGGCAAAGTTGGTGATCTTGGTGGAGAATGTGAACTTTGCTGCTGTTGCTGAGGTTCCTCTTGATATGTGTTTGGTTTAGGAAGTTCTCGATTAGAATGTTGATCGATGGAAGATTTACGCTCCTCATTAGCAATACTCGAGACTGGACTGTGATTGTCATTTCCATACGCACTTTCCCTAACAGGAGATTCCAAGTTAACTGTGGATGGACGTTGCTGCTGCTGCTGTTGTTGTTGTTGTTGTTGTTGTTGTTGTTGTGAAGGCTCGGCAACTTTATTAATCTCTGGTAAATGAATAGGAGGTGATCGACGTATAGAATGATCATCTTGACGATAGGGGGTGAATGTTGGTGGAATTTTATCATCAGAGACATTATCAACGTGCATTCTATGATCGTGCTGTTCAACAATTTGAGAATGATTATTTAAAATTGAAACTCTTGAACCATGATCAAGACTAGAGGTAACTGGAGTTTCTTCAGGTTTGGATGGAGGTTCTCGATAATCAATGTGCATCTTGTTATGATCATATATGTCAGAATCACGACGATCAACGATCGGAGGAGAATGACTAGAAATTTCATGATGAGGAGGTTGATGATAACTTGGATGTTGTGAGCTACCGTGTTCATTAATCCTTGGTGAAGAAGGATAAGGTGGACGTAATTGCGAATGGGGTTCAGGTAATTGAGGAGAAAATCTCGCGCGTCGATTATCATCTTGAATTTGAGGAAGCGTCGGAGGCGGTGACGAACGTTTATCTGAACGTAAAGGTGTTTGTGATTGTTGTGATTGGTGAGGCGTTAAGGGTCTTTGATCGTGTGGAGACATGACTGAACTGTTAAGTTGGTGTTGATTATTTGGAGGTGTAGGTGGTCTCGGTTCGCGGAGATGAGATGGTGGTTGGGGTGCATATGATCCAGAGGGAACCGGACTCCTCCTTGAAATTGACATGGGTGCTGACATGGGAGGTAAATCACCTCTTTGCATTTGAGGTAAGTCTCCTCTTGACATTGGAGGTAAGTCACGAAGATTATCTCCATGAGCATGAATTGATGATAATGAAATAGGTGGATGGGTTTGCTTATTTTCTTGTCTACTTCCATACGTTGGCATACCGGGAGGTCCTTGTGGACCAGGGGTTGGTTGTGCAAAAGTTGGAGGGTTACCAAGCATTGGTGGTCCATTCGATTGTTGATAAGCTTGAGGATTAACATCCTGAGGGATTGGCGCGGTGGTTTGTCCTCCTTGAGCTTGTTGAGTTCTTAACATTTGTAACCTTTGTTTTATATGAGGGTTCGCGGGATCCAATTCAGCAGCACGATGATAGGCATCTAACGCGTCATTGATTTGATTATTACAAGATTCGTAAAGTGTGCCCAAATCGTACCACACTTCGCTAATAAATGGATTCAACCGAATTGCTCTACTATAAGCATCCAAGGCATCGCGGAACTTATTATCATGAAGAAAAAAATTTTTATCATCAGTTAACATTACTACTTAAAAACAACACTTTATAAAATAAAAATAAAATATGTACCTGATTAATTTGATAATAAAGAACACCAATTGAACACCAAAATGTTGGATTCCGCCCATCACGATAGCTATGTAAAAAAAAAAGATAAAATTCTTCGAATGAATATTTACACAAAATGAAAAAAAAAATGGTATTAAAGCGTAAAACAAGAGTGAGATACTTACACAGCTTGTTGATATGCTTCGTAAGCCTTATTATATTTTTGTTGAGCCATATAACAACGTCCAAGAAGATACCACGACTGCGCATCATTACCATCTATATTTAAGGAATTAATCAGCACGCACGTTTTTTTAAAGAATTTCACCAATTGACCGACCCATCAATGTACCGAGAATGATCGTATCAATTATTTACTCACCAGATTCTAGTGATTTTGTTAGGTATGATATAGCCAAGTCTTGATTGCTGAAACTTGCGCTTTGTTGATGATAAAGCCATCCCAATTGCTGAAGTACCTTGGCGTGATTTGGATTATCAGCCAAGACACGCTCATAAGCTTCTTTAGCAGCACCAAACTAAAAACGCGTTAAATAAAAAAATTAGCAAGAATCAAATGATTTAAAGGAAATCTAAAAACACGAATCCCTACATTTTTTTGTTGTTCATACACATGACCAATTTGAAACCATATATCAACTTCAGTTAAAGGTCTCGGTGGATTATGAAGAATATATTTAAAACACTAAGAGAAAAAATATCGTAGGAAAAAAAAAAACTAATTAATAAGAATTCATACCATCACATGATGAAATAATGAATGCATGAATGTATGAAAACGTACCTCTAAGCTCTGATCGTATTTTTGTTGTTGTTTATATATGATACCAAGTCTAAAATAAATTTCATTGGCTTTTTCGAATTTTGGTTCCATCCTCATCACTTGGGAAAAAGCTTCCTCAGCATGTTCAAGTGATCCATACCGATCATATAAAATACCAATGCCGTACCAGAGCTTTGGCTCCTATAGTAAACATGACATAATTTACAAAATCATTAAATATTTTAATTAACATCTCCAAACAAAACAAGATAATTAAGTTAATTTAGAATAAAAAAAAAATTACTTTGGGATTAGGTAAATGATAAAGAGCCTGTTGGTAAGCATGATAAGCTTTCTGTAAGTCATCCATCATCAAGTAGCAATGACCTAAAGGATAAGTAAGAATCGGATACAAGATAGATTATTAGTAAATGAATGATAAATATAATGATTTGGAAAAATTGAAATCTCACCTAATGCACCCCAAATCTCTCCATTTGCTTGATCAATATTTAATATCCTTTGAAAATAATCAACGGCCTATAAAAAAGGAATAAAAAGAGTTAACATTCATTTCACAGCTCTATTAAAAAAAGAAAAAAAAAATGTAATGATTAATTACCCTTGGAAACTGTTCCCTCCCTCGACAAAGAGCAGCTATGCCTGACAAAGCAGCAATAGAATAGGCATTATGACGTAAAGCGGACTCGTAAGCGCTCATAGCCCGATCATATTCTTGCATCAGCTCGGCAGCAGAGCCTATGATAATAAATGAAAGATAATAATACATTAAAAATAAGATTAATTAAACGTGGTAGAATCGTTCTAACGTTATATCTTAAATATAATAACTTTAATTATTATGACTAAAATTCAAAATTTTGAATTCGGTTATTATTTACGTTCATAAAATTTTTAGTCATATAAAGCACAAACTTTGATGACTCCCGTATAACGAGACTATTGTTATAAATGCACTAGATAAAACCTTATGTGCATAACGGGTTAACGTAAACAAACACCAAAGCCTTAGCTTTACAAGTGAAAGTCACAGTGTTTGTGTGTGTGGAGTTTTTTTGCAAAATGTAATTCTTGGTGTTTTAATCAACACCTACCCATCTGTAACCATGTTTGTTCGTTGGCCTGTCCTAGCCTATGAATGCTTGCGCTTTGACCGTTAGACGACATTGACGACATCGTTCATAAAACGTCTAAGGTCAGAGGAGTAATAAACTTTAAATTTAAAAGTGTTATAGTTGTGTTGTTTTTTAAAAAAAAAAAATAAAAAAGCTTTTGGAAAAGAGAAGGAAAAAAAAATAAGAATAAGAAAAGGAACAGAAAGAATTTTTTTTTGGACAGTCGGTGGGTAAGGGGGTGAAAAAAAGTTTAACAAAACAGATATTAATAAGAAACAAAAAAAAAAAAAAAAAAAAAGGTTGCTACGATCAAATGAGTTCCAGGACTCGGTAAGTAGTATCACCGCCACTAAACTTGCATAAGTCGTCAAGATGGTATGGGCATAGTAGATATTAGTTTCACAGATCCTGAGTTTATATCAATGTAAATATTTTTTATATTGTGTCACGGATTTTTGTTGAAGAAATTAAAGTAAAGGCATATATAATATGTGAGGTTATTATTTTTAATGTAATTAATGTAATATATTATATAATATGATTTTATATAAATTGAATTGTCTATCTATAATTGCAAATATATGTAGGATATCCATGAAACAAATTGGTGTTAACGCAATTTGGTTAGCGTGATTTTTTTGGGCTAGAGTTAAAAAGACAACAGGTGAAAGACAAGAAATGACAAAGTGAAAGCCCTGCAAAGTTGAACGCAATTCGCATTTGTTTATTAATTTTACTATATCTTCTTATAATGTATTATTAGGATGTATATCATAAACAACAAACACTGAATTGCATATTCATTTATATTACAGATACAATAAGGTTAATATATTCGGAAATGTAATAAGCATAAGACTGTGATTTTCTTATAGTCTTATAGTTTCATAGTTGCAGTTACCAAACGACAAAATGTCCTTATAATTGACATATGAGATCTTAAAAAATAATTTATAAAAATGTTTAGTGTTATATTATCTTGTCTGTTAAAGAGTTTAAATGATTAATTATTATTTTATTTACAAATATTAATATTTTATTTGGATTTATAATCAATATTTTAAATTAAATCTTTAAAAGATATCATTGGTTCAAATGGTAGTATATAAAATCCTTTTTTTTGGATCTTTTTTTAAATTCCATTTATTCAAGAAATTTTTTTGACGCAAATAATTCTATTGTTTAAAAAGTTCCCTATTTATTGGGCATTGTTCAAAATGATCGATTTTGTTGAAAATTTCGCACTCATCCATCTCCAGTGACCCAATCATTGCTTATCACGTGCGTATGTGATCTATCATCATTTTTTATGCATGCGGACAGATCGAGAAATTAATCCGTTTTTCGACTTTGTTTCTTCATTGAATAAAGCTTTCTTATCATGGCTTTTACAAACATACAGAGTGAAACCTTAAGATCGTCAACTTGGGTTCCTTTGGTTGCGCGGGTTGACGATTCTTCGATAGATCCTTTTCTTGTAAAATCTATTTTCACAGAAAAGTCTTACCTTGTATTATTTACTGATTTACGGTATGTCTGGTTTGAAGAATTATTTGACGGTGAGATAAAAAAACGTTTCCAGGAAAGCAACTGAATATACATTTTATTATTTTTTTTTTACCGTTATTTTTTTTTTTGTCCTCTAATTAATTAAGCGAAAAAAAATTTGTTTACGAATAAAACAGGAGATAAAAGTCTCTCTTGAGCATGATCGATTATCGGAATATATTCAATTTTTATCAGAATATTTGCTTCCTCAAAGGTCCGACATAACTCATAAAGTTACTAAAGGCCACGACGGCACGGTAAAGTGTCGATAATTCATTATAATAAATGCGAATTATCCGTTTAATTAAAATTTAAATTTGCTTTACTGCGCTTGGATTGTAGTTCTTATTTGAATCTAAAAGAATTATTGGTCCGATGGAATTGGTTTGGAAATTTCATTGTGAATTGATCCCTTCATCACTTCCTATGAAGTCTCCAAATTCTAATATGCAACAAATTGATGGTGTTACGGTTTTATATACTCATTTCATCCTACCTCAAATATTGATAACTTCTGCTTATAACAAACAATTAGAAACTTTACATAATGCAATCAAATCAAAAGAGGAAGAATTTAATGAAACTGTACGCTTAATGTCCTTGGTAAGGATACAACATAGTTCCGACAAAAATACATGTAAGTTATATGATGATTTTTTTTCCTCTCATTTATTCAGCATTGATTTTGTTACGAACGAATTTATCAAAATTATAGATACAGAACCACCATCTTTTGATCCAAAAACTTCATATGATGAAATTGAAAAGGTTCATGTTTGATAATCGCGTCTTTACCTCTTCACCTTGTTTCAAACATTTTTTTTTTTTTTTTTTTTTTAGAATATCCAAAATTTTGAGGTTCTTGATTCATGCGCTCCATTAAACATTTGTGAAGATCTCATATTCTCAAAATTATTCAAAACCGCGACAGAACGCGTTATTTCTCAAAGTATATCACCTTTTTTTTCCTTTAAAAATAAAAAAATAAATCCATCAGCTCATTAACTTAGATTCTTTATCAATAATAGCCAAGGTTATACCAGAAAATAAGAATCTCCCAACAACATCATATTCTTCAGGAGCGCCTTCGCTTACCACATTAGAAAATATTTCACAATTACCAACAATGAAATTACCGAGTTTATCAGATTCACAATTATCAAAAATGTTTACACCACATGTATTATCACTTGAAGATGGTATTAACCCTTCACAAGCTTCAACGATCGAATTACCAACTTTTGATTCATTTCATGACTCACAATTTAAAGATGATGAAGAATTAGCTCGCATTCAAGCAGAAGAAGAGAAAGAAAAAGCTCGAAGGGTGAGTTGACCAACCTTTCTTTTTCAAAAGATTTTATATTTATTTGGTTTATATTCTTAGGCAGCTGAAGAGGCAAAGGCTAGAGAACTTGAAAAGAGACAGCATCTTAAAGATTTGGCCGCAAAACAAGCCGAAAAGGCCGCAAAGAAACGCAAGAAAATTATGTAAAGCTTGAACATATATATATATTTATATACTTGTAGATATAACTTTTGTAATAGTTTATGTTTTTGCCATTAATTCTGTATATAAATGAACAATTTATTAAATAATATAGAATAATTTTCATTCCGATCCACTTTTCACAATACTGAATTTAAATTAAGCTATTTGTCCTTAAATCTAACAGGTGGTTTCAAAATCCTTACAGCATTTTTAGAAAACGTGTAGCTTAATCCAGACCATATCGTTGTTGAAGCAACAGTATATCTAAAATAGATGAAAATTTAAATAAGGTAACCGGCAATAAATTAGATAATTAACATTGTACTTACTGTAATGCTATTAAAGCTTGAGCATCCGTCCATCCAAAGACCGGACTGGCAAGTGTAACACCTATCAGAGTTAACTGCAAGGCCGTGTTTATCTTGCGACAAAAAAAAAAATTGGTCAAGTAAGCTCAAATTGTTTAAAACTTTCGAGATATGTTTCATTTACCTTGCTAATTAGCGTTGGTCTTACTTCTGCGGATGGGATTGACATGTCAAAATATCTTACTATTGTTTTCTAGTTTAAAATAGTAAGTTGCGAGTGTTCTTTTTTACAAAAAGAAATTTTTTTTCAGTGAAACGACAAATACCGGAGGTGGCAGTGAGATATATCGATAATAAAACGATGCAAAAATCAATCCTACGTCGCGTCCCAATATAACAGCGGCGATTGGGACTATCAATAGAATTTCAATTTAATAATGAAATGAAGAGGAAAAAACAAGAAATGAAAAGGGATAATACAAAGGAACTCACTCGGTAATAAATCTTTCTTTGCTAATACAATAGTCAAAATAGTCATTAATATTTTATCGGCCGCTGGGTCCATCACTGTTCCTAACACCGTCCTCATATCATATTTACGTGCAATAAATCCATCAAACTTGAGAGGTAAAGTGTAATTAGCGACAATTTCGACAATACAAAATTTAATAATACGATTGAGATTATACCAGATCGGTGAAACCAGCATATATAAATGCGCTTAATGCTAGACCATAATGATCATTCAATATGAGATATCCTATAATTGGGGAAGCTATTAACCGTGATAATGTAAGATAATTAGGTATTGTCCAAATATTTTCTTTTGTGGGAGTTTCTTTTATCTAAACATGTCAACGGAAGATTGATGATAACATTTCAATAATTAGACAATTACAAATAGAATAGAAGAAAGGATATCATATTTTATTTACCTTCGATTCATTTTCTTTATGCTTATTGCAAGAGATTGAGTTTTGAGAGAATTGTCTATTGCCTACAATAAATGGTAAGTAAAATCTGACAAAGAATAAATACTCCAAAAAAAGAGAATTACCGTAAAGAAAAGCATAATTATTAAATTTACATGGTTTTTCTCGAACTGTTTTGCGAACTAATAAAATTAAATTTAATTGTCGGTGTTATTTTACTATGAGCTTTCCTGTTAATGGTAAATTTTCTCGGTGTGATTTGTTTCAAGGAATAATTTCGAGTACAATTTAAACCGAGAGTGAAAATTGCTCGTCGAATATTTATTCTCGAAGTGAAAGCCGACATTTTTTTCAATTATGGAAAGAACTGATTAGGACGGAGGTTTGTCCAATGTTCATAACTGTGGCACATTTATGTACGATGCAATATGGTTATGCATGATTGGTAAAATGTTGCTGAGTGGCTTATGAAAAATCACGAATATATTTATTATTTATAATTAATGGCTCCGCAGATCTGTTAATTCCTAGTTCATTTTATAATTTTCTTCAAAAAAAGAACAAAAAAACGAGGGTATCAAAGGTGCTGATCTGCAACAATAACCATTTAAAGGATAGATGTTATTTTATTTGATCGACGTAATACATTACAGATAATCAAAGATCAGAAATTGTATAAATACCCTCGTTAAAAATCTTTCTCACTTTATTTCTTGCAAATAAAAAATATATATATATTAATAAAATGCCTTTACTAGATCAATTAGATGCAACCTTAGAAAAACGTAAAAAGTTAAAACTTTTACGTTCTTTAGTAGTGGCTTCGCCCTCGTCTGTAGATTTTTCTTCAAATGACTTTCTTGGACTTGCGAGAAATAAAGTATTACAAGAATCATATTTAAAAGAGATTTCTACTTTTCCTATCCCACCACTTGGTTCAACAGGTTCAAGATTGTTGGATGGGAATTCATCATATGTAGAAGCCTTGGATAAATTTATTGCTGAATTTCATAAAGCTGAATCTGCATTAATCTTTCCTTCGGGTTTTGATGCTAACGTAGGATTTTTTAGTAGTGTACCACAACGAGGAGATGCGATAATCATGGATGAATTCATACATGCTAGTGTACATGATGGCGTAAAAAATTCTCGGGCTGCTATCGTAAAAAAATTTCGGCATAATGATGTTGATCATCTAAAAGAAACTTTGGAAGAAATTGTAAAAAAAATTGATCCACAAAGAAACATTTTCGTTTCTGTGGAAAGTTTATATTCAATGGATGGTGATATTGCTCCATTAAATGACATTGTTGAAGTTATAAAACCTTTCAATACGTATCTGATTGTAGACGAGGTTTGTAGGTTTAAAAAATATATAACAAATTGTTTTTGGATTGATAAATAATTTTATGTAGTTGTTATATTAGGCACATGCAACCGGAGTGTATGGTGAACAAGGTCGTGGTATCGTATGTGAATTAGGATTAGAACGAAAAGTATTTGCGCGTTTACACACCTTCGGAAAGGCGTTGGCCAGCAATGGAGGTATTCAATGATACATGATGAATTTTTTTTTTTTGGAAAGTTAAATTTTAACATGAACAGCGATTTTAAAGATTCTTTCACGTTTTATTGTAGCGGCAATCCTTGGACCTAAGATCCTAAGAACGTACTTAATAAATTACGCAAGACCTCTAATATTTTCAACATTTTTGCCATTTAATAGTCTTATAGCCATTAATTGTGCTTATAAGGTCATGTCAAGCGAAGTTGGAGATCAGGTATTATACAAAACCAGGGGGTCGATTTTGTTTTTGTAGTTTTATTACTAATTTTCGCGTTATCGTTTATAGCTCCGTCAAAATTTGAGGAAATTGATCCATATATTTCGAAGTAACATCAATTTACCTTCAAATATGTTGTTACCTTCCGATAGTGCGATTCAAAGTATCTTAACTCCGGGTAAGAACGCTTTCTATTTATTTATTTATTTTATTTATAACGAAAAGATTTTATTTATTTGAATTTTCTAAATTCTTTTCAGGCAATGATAACGCGGTTAGATTGAGTCGCGTAATTCAAAAATCCGGATATAATGTAAAACCAATTCGTTCGCCAACTGTTCCGAATGGTAAAGAACGCGTTAGAATCTGCATACATTCTGATAATACTGAAGAACAAATTCACGGAATCATAAATGTCATTGAAAATTATTTCAAAAATCAACATGTTACCAATGAAATGAATAACGATAATGACACCTTTACAAATAATTATCAAATTGCATCAAAACTTTAAAATAAGTAATAATATATTTTATTTATTTGTTATTTAATTTAATTTTAAGTAAATTATTGTAATGTTAAAAAAAAAAACCCCCCCCCCCCCCCCCCTCATTTATATCTATAAAGAATTAAACATTTCTTTTCCTTTTTTTAAATAAAAAAAAAAATCGCGATAAAAAACCCGTAACCTCGAAACTTTTCCAAAATTAGACAAAGTTGCATGTGAATGATCGGCTCTACCTGTAATCAATCAACAACCAACACATCATAGTAAAAAATTTCAAAAAATTTCACTTCACTTTTCTTTCAAACTTGGTTTTGTTCTCTTTTCATTTATAAATATCTTTTATTAAATAAAATGTCACAAGGACAAGTTCATTCGGTCTTGTTTGACGGCACAGCAGCTTATGATTATGGGACACCAGAGAATCTAGAGTTTTATGATACAAATTATGATACATCTTACACCTCAACATCGAATACCGCTTATTATACTCCGCAAGCTTCTCATCAATATCCCGGCTACCATCATGGTGGAAACACTGGTGGTTTTTGGAGTGCGTTCGGTACTGGAGGATTTGATGATGAACCACCATTACTGGAAGGTAATTCATTAATTTTTGAAAACGACCATTTATTTTCAAATCGAACCTAAGCTCTGACCTCTGATATATAGAACTTGGTATCAACTTCGGTCATATAAAAACCAAGGTAAAATTGACTTGATAAGTTCCAATTGAAAAAGATGTTTCATGTAAATTCCTTTAAAAAAAAATTTTTTTAAAAAAAAAATCATATAGAGTTTGGCAGTTTTAAATCCTCTTAAAATTGTTGATAAGAACATAATGGATGATACAGATTTAGCGGGGCCTCTTTTATTTTGTTTAGTATTTGGAGTCTCTTTATTACTGGTACAGTGTGCCAATTTTTTTTTTTTTTTTTTTTTTTTTTTTTTTTGTAAAGAATCAATATATTTATATATACATAATAATTTCAGACCGGAAAAGTTCATTTTGGATACATTTATGGAGTTGCATTACTCGGTTGGGTATCAATTTATATGATATTAAATCTTATGAGTGAATCGGGCATTGACGGTTATAGAACTGCAAGTGTATTAGGCTATTGTTTACTGCCACTTGTTTTATTAAGTTGTCTTGGTGTGGCTTTTCCGCTAAGGTAAGGAATCTGATTTTTTTTTCTTCTTTTAGAAGTTAGAAATCTCTTACTTTAAACATTAATTAATTAAATTAACGATTCTCTTTTTTTATTCTATTTTGTTTTTTTTGTGCAGCGGACCACCTGGGCTTGTTGCTTCAGCACTTGCAATTATTTGGTGTACATATTCCTCATCTACTATGTTCGTGACAGTTTTGCAAATGTCTGAACAACGTATTTTGGTCGCTTATCCCGTCGGTTTACTATATGTTTGTTTCGCTCTTATGACAATCTTTTAATTGTTGATTAATTTTTATTAACTGTATAGAAATTTTCTGTATATATCATCATAACAAAAGCATATTTTTCTAATATTATGTGATTAAACTAATATAGAATTCTTAAAAAAAAAATAGCGTTAATTTTCATTATTTTATTATTAATACTAACACCATCTTTTGAGAAGAGTTAATTTATTAAATACAATTCAAATAAAAAATGATTATTTTTTTTTTATAATAAACAAATAAACAAATACCATTTACCAAATTATCATAAAATTATCGATAGGTACTCATACAAGATTTGTTGTTGAATGGGTTAAAAATCGGACCTATATAATAAAGAATATCGATTAAAAATTATTCTTTTACAATAAAAAAAAATTTTTTTTTTTTTTAAAAAAAAAGAATAATACCAAATTAAGAAATTCGAAGTTACTATAAAATATTATTGTATTGCCTCATCGTCATCATCGTCCTCTTCAAGGGCCACTTTTTTTTCAACCGCTTCCGTTTCTACTGTTTCTACCGTTTCTAACGTAGGGAATGAATAATAAGACTCGACTTGTGCTTCTTTTACCAATTGGTGTATCTTTGTTAATAATTCTTGTGAATCAAATATCGAAGAAGGTAATTGTGGACAAGATGTAAGATGATGCTAATACAAAAATTAAAAATATAATTTTGTTATAAAATCAAACAAGAATACTCAATTCATCAATTAAAGAATGGTTACCTTTTCTTCTTTAAATGCAATGTGAGCTTTTAATATTGATTGACACAATACAAATTTCACAAGAAATTGGCGAAGGAAATCATCTTGTAAAAACCTTTTTAATGGTTTTTCTGCAAAATCAAAAGGACTCAAAGTTCAATTTCTATATCATGAGTGAAATTCAAATAATAACTGACCTTACCAATAGTAGATGAATTGAATAATTCTACAATCTTTAACTCGGCTTCTGCAACAAGATTCACACATTTTTCCCAAGTTTCTGAACTTATTTGTCCAAGATCAGAAATAAAGGCAAACCCAAGAAGCGGCGCATGGAGAAATAAGGTGAAAAGACTACCAATCTGAGACGTGTCTATATAAATGTTTACTTTTAAATAAAAAATGGTATAATATGATACATGAATTCTAATTGAAAAATCAAAGTTACCAGGGATAGAAGAAGGGTACTCCACAGGAGACATAAGGCAAAGGAACGGTTGATTAAAAACTCTAGGGAAATCCTAAATAATTTTCAAAAAATAATTATATCTCTCAAATCACGTGCAATAATGGACAAAAAATAAACTATACCGCAAAGGCAGTGCTATTATCGCTGTCAATTATTAGACATAATGGTTTACGGGTGAATGGCACTAAATCCGCCGGATGCAAACAATTAATTAACCCGCTACTATCCGAAGAATCTGTTTTATCCGTAGGTTTGCGAGAACTAGTTGCAACACCACCATTATATCCTAGATTTTAAAAAGTTCTATTAAATAGATTTTTCGAAATTTACATTCACATTATTCATACTTACCATTATATGAGGTTTGTTCATTACTGCTTGAACGTTTAGATCCATCGGCAGAAATGTAAAGTAACAATGCGGAATTTTCATTGATTTCCTTAAAAATAATGTTAATGAATAAATAAGTGCATATGCATATGTATGAGATAGGGTTTTACAAAAAAAAAAAAAAAATTAAATCAATCAATAGCATACCTTAAAAGCAGTAGAGATATATACTAATAACTGACTGAACGTTGGTCGATATAGAAGATATTTATGTGGGTTAACTCTTCGCGACGCAGGTTTATCGGTAGATGTATTTGCACCTTGTTCGTCAGCACTTGGATGATCATCTTTATTAGTAACTCTTTCGTTTACCGTGGGAACGTCAGAACCTGGCGTTTTCGGAGCAGATTTTAGAGGTGCCGGTTCACGTTCTTAAAATTTCAATTGCAAGAAAATCAATAGAGTTGAAAATATTATTCATCATTAGTGACTAACATTAGAGATAGACGTGTAATATTCACCAAGCGACTGTAGTATGTGATACATGTCAAGGGTCAACTCCGAAAATTTGATTTGGTTTTGGTAATTGCCAACCAAAATCGCTTCCTGAAGTTTTAATTTTGGTGTACCATCTTTTTCAAGCCTAAGACTACGTTCAATTTGTAGTCTACGTACAACCGATAAAAGATGACCTTCGTTTGATACTGGAACAAGCTTCTTTTCGGCCTAAAAAAAGATAATTCATACTCATCACATTAAATAAGTATGTATGAAATGTTCTACATTATCATTAAAAATATTTTTTACCTCCAAGAAAGTTGCAATTTCATGAAGGACACCTTGCCATTCATTTGAATCAACAGGTTTGAAGATTTTTATATAGTCATCAACAAGACCACTCAATTCATCCATTAATTTCTGTACGATATCCCTGTTGTTCAACAGCAGACAAACAACGATAAATCGAGCATAATATCTCAATTTTTTAATCATGAGTGCCGGGCTAGCATTAAACAATATTTTTCATCAAGTATGAATGTATCAATATAATTCAATCGAAAAAAAAAATTTTAATTGAAAAAAATATTATTGTTTTAACAAACTTTTTAACGTCAAGAACATCCTTGAAGTAAGAACGTTCACGAATTGCCTCGTAAAATATATATGATTCGTGAAGGTAATTTGTCTCACTTGTACGTAGACTTTATAATTTTTATGAATATATTAAGTGTTAGTCCATATCCTAACATTTCTTTAAAAATTAAATTAAGGAAAAGGTCATACTAGTAATGATAATAAAGTTGACCAATTTTCGAAGCAATTTCGCCAACTTCCCATCGTTTAAGACCATAATTTTCTTTAACTTCCAACACAAATCTACAGAACAGATTGTTTAATGATTGAACTTGCGGAAAAGCAAAAGTATCTAAAAATTAAAATTCACCTATTCTGTTGCTGAAATTTCCATAACTAGATACAAGTATATCATTAGACACGCGTTACATAATCTACTAATTTGATCAGGTTCATTTCAAATACCTTGGTGTAGACTTCGAAAGTTCGTTGGAAATACGGCTGCCATTGACGACCACCGGTAGGTGGTAAATCCCTGCATATATCACGTTTCCCCTAAGCCATTCGTTATAAAAGGTTATGAATTCTGCGTGTAGCGAAGAGTCTTTACCTTAAACCTGCAAATAATTGCTGACTCTTCTCCAAAAGGTACTGAAATTCTTCGACAATCCTTTGGTTATTCACAGCAGTAGTTGCCGGGTCAGTTTGAACTTTGTTCTCTTTCTCGTTATTACTGTTACCGGCTATAGTAGCTTCCTCCATAACTACATCTTGTACAGCTGTCTGGGTAGAAACTGTTGAAGGAGGTGGTGTCGTTTTTATCTGTGTATCTTTTGGTGGTTCCTCCATTTTTCAGCTAAATAAGGAATCTATAATAAAAGTATTGTCTATCGTCGGTAAAAATAAGTGATCAAAATATAAATGTTTCTTAGCGCGCATACTGCGAGATACATACGGTATATAAAGTAAATTGATTTTAACCATAATTTTTTTTGTGATATAAGTATTAGGCTTTGTAAGGCAAATAAAAGTATAAATTAGGAATTCGGTTAATCTTTTATTCAAAAATGGACAATATTCATTTAAATTATGTAACCAATAAAATTTTATTTCTTTCTTGACGAACGATTACATTGAAAAATTTTTAAAAAAAAAATAAAAATAAGTCCATTCATGCATCCATTCATCTTTCTTACCCCATTAATGTGCATTATGCACTATGGACATTAGTGATTTACTGATTTCCTTATCAAGAGCTTATTTACTCAGCTCGGTAATTGATTAGGTTTTAGGAAAAGAACGGTCTGACCATTACAAGAAACTTTTAAAACCATAATGAACCTTTACCTATCTTATATATTTCGGAGGACCTACTTTAAGTATTAAAAGTTATCAAGAAGTACATACCAAAAACATGTAAACTTTCGGAAGACGAAAATTTCAATTTCGTTATAAAGTTCTGTTTCCATAATATATACTGTATCCTCTATTCTATCGAAAATCAAAGGTGAGCGACAAAAGGAGAAATTTGAACTCTTAAAGACTTTCAGTATGATTCTTATCTCTCAAATAATTCCTATGTTTTTAGCTAACCGTCTGCCTTTGTTTGCATCTAATAAATTGTTTACAGATTATCCTTTAAAAATTATCAAAATAATTGAGATTGTACTAGCGTACAGGCCTCTTAATCCACGATCGATTCTGAAAATAAGCTTGGTAACAATAAACATAACATAAATTGAATATTTTAACGGATTAAACTTTGCCAGAGCGGTGAGTCTTTGACCTAAAGCTGCATGCGTTGATTTAATTTAAATACCATTTACGATCGTGCATCGCAGAATTAACAGCGTATCTACGCTACAAATTCGAGGCTTCCTTAAATTTATGTGTTAATAAAGCAGTCGACCAACCGCATGTTTATCGTCGATCAATGAAACCTTAAAATATTTTTTGAAATGATTATCGTGGTATCGTTTATAGTCGCAATATGTAGTAAGTTCTTTCTATAATTATCATGTCGATACTAATTAAGTTAAATATCTTGAATGGATAATAATTATATAAAAATTTTTTTCTTTCATGAGAGTAAAATACCCTTTTGGCACATATCTATCCTGAAAAGCGTTTAGGAAAGACACAAGACACCCGTCCGCGTGATTATTGGAAAGTTCTTTCAAAAAAAGGGAGCCCGTTCATATTACGTACGCCATTGTTCAACCAATGTACAGTATTCTGAAATTTAGGGACAAGATTATTATTTTGATATTGATTTTTCGTAAACTGATTGTGTTACTATTTTCTATCCAAAAATCATCATCACATGATTACGAATTTCTTTGGAACTTTTTACAATTTTATATGGTAAATAAATCTCTAAAACGAACAATATCCCTTAATTAGAAATAAATTTTTTTACATTGGTTAAGGATAATTACATCATAAATCCCTAATGATTTACACGATCCAAACTTTATAAATTATTTTTTTTTTCCCCCTTCCTCTCCTATTCCCCTATTTATAAATCTGCGAAATGCGAGTGGAGGAAACTACAACTGAACGCGAAAAAATGATTTCTGATTTGCGTGTTGATACCCATGAAAACCATGAATACCCATGATTAATTTAGATTCGTTAATCGCGTGATCCTAAGTCATTGTTTTTTATCGAATTCGAGTCGTCTTTCTTTGCTCATTATATTTCGTGTAACCTTATGTTATTTTTGTCGTGAAACATAAAGAACATATAAATTTTAAAAAAAAATTTTTTTGTTGTTATTTTTGAGTTTTATCTTATCATCTGTTTATCAAATATTCAAGTTAAATACTGAAAGAAAGAAAGGAAGGAAAAAAAAAAAAAAAATTTTTTTTAGTTTGAACAAAGACACTCTTAAATCAATTATTTAAAAAACAAATTTTTATCATCATACGAAATATGGGCTCACGGGTATATAAAATAATCATTTCTTATTTATCTTGTTTAATATATCTTGTAATATTTGTTTCACTTACTTTAATTTGTTTAAATAAAATTTGAACCAAAGCAAACTACAAATGCGTTCTCAGAGCAAGGTAGTCCGCATGACATTAATAACCTTACAAGTAAGAGAACAAGAGCCACTATCAGAGCACAGAAAAGAACTCAAGATCCAGTGGAACCAAAACAAGAAGCATATGGTTGGTCTTGAATTATATAGAATTTAAAATAATTATAATGAATTTACAATGATTGCTTAACATTACATTTTTTATTTACAGGACTGCCATCGTCAAGTCAATCACAAAATTTAATACAAGTAGAAATTGAAAGTTTTGACACAGCTTCAAGAGCTGGAAGTACTTCGACTCGATCACGACCAATGCGTCGAAATAAAAGAACACAGGACAGAGCTTTGTTAGATGGTTAGATATCTTCCATCATTAACCTTCTTGTAATAGATAAATGATTCGTTTTATAGATATTAATTGACCGATTTTATTTTTTCCTCCCCTAATATTTAGAAACAGAACCGTCCACTTCTGCTTCGCAAATATTGTCAAGACCTAATAAGCGTAGAGCAATAAGGATGGAAGAAGGCAGTATGTATAAATTTAAATTATTTGAGTTGGATAAATTTTTTTTTATAATTTCCAATAAAAATCATGTATTGATTATTTTTAGCTTCTAGAAATGAAGATTATCCGATAATCTTTCTGCCTCCTCTTAGAAATGATTCACCACATCCTACCGTCCGACGTACCACGGAAACGGGTTCCATTCAGGATTCTTCTTCATACTTACAGTCCACGTTTAATTTGCCTAATACAGAAGACAATGGTATTGGAGTAACTTTGCCTCCTATTTCTTTGCCGCAAGAAAATTCTCCACATGGTGGAATAACCTTACCTCCCATTCGCTCAGTATTTCCCATTGGTCTTGAACGTTCTAGGACTCCACGTAATATTTCCCCCGATTTAGAAGTGATTGACCTTTCCTCTCCATCTTACCGTTCTGCCGACCCATATCCAAGCAATATCGTAGATTTAACGTCCTCTCCGAACACGCACTCACCAGCCGTTAACCCACCTATAACTAATAACGGTATAGAGATAATTGTCATTGACGATGAGTCAGAAGCTGGTTCACCTTTGCCCTCAAGAACCCTAAGAGGTCTTCAACTCAAGTGTGCGATCTGTCTTGACCATCCAAAAGATGTTTCGGCAACGTCTTGTGGACATATATTTTGTCTTAATTGCATCACAACTGCTTTAAAAGCTCAAAAAGTGTGCTCCCTTTGCAGAAATCCATTATCAAAAAAACAGATCAAGCGCTTGGAGTTCAAGATTTCGTTGTAAGGATTCATTATCACAAACCTTATGGACGTGAGTCTTTCTCACATTCATTATCTTTCATTCTGCATTCTGAGTTATTAAGAGCTCTTTACCTTTTCACCTATCTTTGATAATATTTTTATTTACCGAGAAAAGTTAACGAACCGTTTGTTCTTTTTTTTTTGTTCGTGAGCTTTTCGTTTATTTATTACGTCTTTTTTGTTTTGAATTTAACTGGTGATTATCCATCAACGCAAGCATTTACCCTATAGAATAATAATACTCTATAGCGTCAAAAAAAAAAAAAAATTTAAAATCAAATAAATATAGCTTTAAAGTATGGTTTTTGAAAGTTTGTTTTTTTGTTTTTGTAAGTTAGCTAACAAAACAAGAGACTAATGTACGTTAGAATTAAATCAATTATGATTAAATTAGATTACAAGCTAAAAGCAAAAAGTAGATATATATATTATAATATATGGACAATAATATATGGACAAAAAAAAAAATTTTGTATATACAATAGATCAATTAATAATAATAATTCTTAAAGATATATATTTAATACACAAATGAACGTTAAATATTAAAAAAAAATGAAATTTATAAGTCGTTCTCACGTGATTGTGCATGTTCACGTGTATAAATTCTCGGATGATAAAAAATTTTTCGATTTTGAATTTTGTCAACAAATTCGATTAGAAAAAAAAATGCCTAAAGAAAAGAAAGAACCTAAATCTAAAAAAGAAAAGAAAGAAAAGAAAGAAAAAAAAGAAAAGTCTCATAAGGAAAAAAGGGAAAAGCATTCATCAAAACATAAAGAGAGTAAAGCGAGTAAAGAGAGTAATGTAAAAGATAGTAATGCAATGGAAGTTGAAGATCTGGATGTAGCCAAAATTGAAACACCCGTTGAAAATAAATCAGAAAAAGGTTTAATTGTACATTACGACTTGAGAGCTCTAATACCTTTTGCACAACCCTTAGCTTCTGAGGATTTAACTCTGGAGATAATGAAAACGGTTAGACAAGGTAACAAAACAGTGTGTTATTGAAAGATCGTTTATAATATCGTGCTTACTCGTTTGATAATATTCAATCAACTAGCTGCAAGAAAACGACAATGCAGGCGAGGTGTAAAGGAAACTGTCAAGGCTATACGTAAACAGCAGAAAGGGTGATTATTATTGTCCAATCAATTGATCATTTATCACCATGGTTCTAATTGTAATTTTCTAATTTCATTAACAATAAACCAGTTTTGTCGTGATGGCGGGAGATGTTTCTCCAATGGATGTAATTTCACATATCCCAGTTTTATGTGAGGAAAATGAAATACCTTATGTTTTCATTCCATCTCGAGCTGATCTTGGATTCTCGTGTGCAACGAAACGTCCAACAAGTGTTATTATGATTGTTCCTGATCATAAAGTTGAAGATAACGAATATAACGAACAATATGAAACGTGTCTTACGAAAGTTAAGGAACTGGTAGGTATCTTATTGGCATCTCATACTTTGTAGTTCTTTTCATCTGATTTCCTTTTCCTCTGTTTTGTAGGAGCAATTTATAATACCCTGAGAAACCATCAAAAAGAATAATTTAGTATCAAAATATGTAAAGTTATATAAGTATCCATTCTGTTGAAATTTTTATATTTGTTAAAGATTGCCTTTTTCTCCTCTTTTGTATTTATTCACTTTGCAACAATTTGCTGATCGTGATCACATGATCAGATAGACGCAAGTTAATTAAAAAAAGTTTCCAATTGCAACCTATTAAATATAAATCCATACAATATCTAAGCCATTTGTTGTCATACATTATACTAAAAAGGGAGAAGTCAAGCCCTGAAAACTATTTCAGAAACGAACGAAAACCATTTTCTAACACATTTATTGTGCCACACTCTTGAACATTCTACGATCAGCAAAGAAAGTCAAAACATTACTTTCCTTTTCTCTACCTTATAGTTAAAAATGGCTCCCGAAACAAAGAGCCGTAAGCCCGCAAGTAAGTACAATTCCATTTTTCCTAAATTTACAATTCTTTACACTTTTAAGCGATTAATTATTTCTTTTCGACTTTGTATTAGACACTGCCTTTAAACAACAACGTTTAAAGGCATGGCAACCAATTCTTACACCTAAAACCGTCCTTCCAACATTCTTTATTATCGGAATCATCTTTGCACCGCTTGGTGCCTTTTTATTTTATGCTAGTAATAATGTAGTTGAAATTTCTTTTTTAAAATAGATGTGTCGTTTGTTTATTTTATTTTGTTTATTTATTTATTTTTTTTTATCGTAAAAAAGCCTCAACAATCTATTTTTTTTTAATTTATTATAGGTAAAAGAAATACAAATCGATTATACCTATTGTGATTCAACTCCAGAGCCCACAGATGTTCTAGGAGTCCAGCCTATTTTTGTTGAAACGCCACCTCAATATATAACAACTTCATTTTCAAATGTTTCCCAAATAAAAGTATCATGGGCTAAAATTATTAAACTTCTTCCGCAAGAAAGAAATCCAACTGGAGATAGAAAAATTTGGAACTGTTTAATTCGATTTTCTTTACCAGAAAACTTAAAACCGCCAATTTTCATGTATTACAGGTTAACAAATTTTTATCAAAATCATAGAAGATATGTTAAAAGTTTTGACGCTGACCAGCTTAAAGGTAAAGCTGTACCTGTAAATACGATTAAAGCTGGAAATTGTAAACCGATGGACGTTGGTGAAGACGGAAAGATTATTTATCCTTGTGGTCTTATTGCTAATTCCCAATTTAATGGTAATTATTATCCTATTTTTGATAGAGTATGAATGGAAAAAAAGAAAAGTTAATTATTTTGAATTAATTACTTTTCTTTTTAAGCCAAGAATATAATAGGAAATAATGTAATTATATAAGTTAGAATTTTTAAGAAGTTTTAATTTCTAATTAGGTTTTATAATTTTCCTTTTTTTAGATACATTTTTCGATCCTGTTCTTCTTACTTCACCTGTTAGTGATCTTCAAAATGTGACCTATGAATTTACATCTAAGGGTATTGCATGGCCTTCTGATAAAGAGAAATATAAAAAAACTCAATACACTCTTGATCAAATTCGCCCTCCTTTGGATTGGGTTCAGAGATATCCTGATGGCGCTTATTCTGATAAATTTCCTCCACCTAACATTGAAGAAGATGAGCATTTTCAAGTTTGGATGCGCACTGCAGGTCTTCCTGATTTTAGGAAATTATGGGGAAAAAATGCAGCTCAAGAGATGGTTGCGGGAGATTATCAAGTCGAAATTGAATATTGTAATTAATATAAAATTCTTGAAATAATTCATTGAAATTTTATATGAATAATTATACATAAGCTAATTACTATTATAATGATTATATTTTTTTTTAAAAAAAAGTGTTTCCTGTAAACAAATATGGAGGTACTAAATCTCTTGTGATTTCTACGGTTTCTTTCCTTGGTGGAAGAAATCCTTTCTTGGGTTTCGCTTATATGGCTGTTGGAATTCTTTGTATATTACTTGGATGTGCATTTACTGCAAGACATTTATATAAGCCAAGGTACATAGATGAAAAAAGATCGATATTTTTTATTTTTATTTTATTTTTTATTTATAATTAATATTTATTATATTTTTAGAAAACTTGGAGATCATACTTATCTCTCTTGGAATAATGGCCCAAGTACCAGCAATAATAATTAATTTATTGTTAACAAACTGCTCATCTAATGAATATCATTCATTAGATTAAGTTATTTTTCGTAACGTAATACAATTAATACCCAAAAAAAAAAAAATTAATTGGGCGAGGTGTTTCTGACTGGATTAATTATATATAATCAAAAATTAATCTTTTTTTTTATATTATTAATTTGCCTGGTGAATTCTATGTGAACATAATTCAGTCATTTAACACGTAACTATTTCATACTGAATACATATATAATTATTTAATAAAGTAATGTTTTTTATGTTTTAAGCAATTATTTAATATTAGAGAATACATGGAAAAAATCTTTGATTTTACCGCCAACGTTTTCAACTTATTGAAAATCACGTGAAATATAAATTACCCAATCATAATATCGATCAAATCACGTGAAATAATAACTTCAATCACTTTTAGTTTTTAATCCTGTTTTAAGTAATTTATTTCTATAAATATCGAGAATTATTGTATTAATAAAATGTAAGTATTTTATTCTACTGGTATTATCAAAAAAATATAATAATATAATCAATTTCATTTCACAAATATTTATAAAATATAAATTTCATATGATTTTAAAGGTTAATTTAAATCTCAATATTATTATTTTCAAATCATTAAATTTTTTTTCACTATATATTTTAAATCATTATTCATTAAAAAAAATTATTTCTATTAAAATCTCTCTAAATAAATCTTTATCATTTTTTATATTATTTTACAATACTAAATACACTTATATAACCATATATTAGAATCTATATTAAATTTCATAGTTGGTTTATATATCATAATTATAAAAATATTTTTAAATATTTTTAAAAAATTAATAATTTACTATTTTTTATAATAATATTTTAATCCTAGTTATAAAATCTTATTTTTTTTATAACTAATTTTATAATTCTGAATTACTATACCAATCATATTTATCATAATATTTTATAATATTTTATTATAACATATTTTTCAATCACATTCAGTCACAATTTATTAATAATCTATAAATTAGAAAATTAGCTTTAATATATTTTTAAACTGTATTTGAAAAACAATAAAATCAAATTTTTTTTTTTTGAATTTAAATGATATTAAAAATTCTTTAAACTTATTAAATATTTTAATTTTAATAAAATCATAAAATAATAATTTCAATTACAATCATAATATTATATAATAATTTTTTAAATATTTTAATTTTAATAAAATAATAAAATAACCAATTTTTTTTAATTTCAATTACATAAAAATAAATTATATAACTTAATAAATTTTCTTAAATAAAAGAATTTTACATTTTGTTTTAATAAAATGAAAATATTTTTATTAATAATATATTATTATCTTGTGATAATTTATATTAATATAAAATTAATATTTAGCTTTAAAATTTATGAGACAAGACTTTATAAATAAATCTAAAGGTTGATATAATCAAAAGTATAATTTAAAAAAGAATTTGTTACAATTATATTTATTAGCATACAAGTGTGTTTAGTAATTATCTTATTGTTAATAAAACTAAATAAGTTCTTATTAAAAATATATATCGTTAATAAAGTTCTAAAATTATCTTATTTATAAGCAATTTAATAATATAAAAATAATAAATATAAAGATAAACTTATAAATTTAATTTACTCTATCTAAAATATGTAATTAATAATTATTTAATTTTTAATTATTAAAAAAAGTATTATAACATAAAAAATATTACAAATTATAAACTTAAAATAAAATAATAATTAAAATTAAATATATTAAAATTTAAATCATAGGTATTAATTAAAATTTAGATTACAGTCAACTTTTTTTATAATGAATTTTGATATAACAAATTTTATAATATAATAGATCTTCAGTATAATACAGAGTTTGAAATATAGAAAAAATCTTACTAAACTGAATTTATTAAACTTAAATTTATACTATATTTATTAAATTAAAGTATAAAATATGTATATATAAATGCTTCTTTTTATAATATATTTATTTATAACAAATTTTTTTAATATAACAAAGATTTATAAAATAGATTTTATATTAAAATTTTGTAATTTTTTATATTTTAATAAAGTTAATGAAAGTGTTTTATATAATATTTTATAATATTCTTTTTAAATATTTCTTTGTTTTCATGTTTTGCAAAATCTATTTTTTTCATATTTTTTTCTTTGTTAAAATTAAATTTGAAGAAATAAAAAAAAATTTCTAATAAACTTTAAAAAATAAAAATCTCTTATTATTATACAAAAAAGAAATATGTTTAAGGTTATTAGACAAATCTAAAGTTTAAATAAATGTCTAAATAGTAAAGATAAAATTTAGTTAAATTATATTAAAATCTTATTAAAAAATCTGTGAAATTCAAAAAAGGTAAAACTATATTAAAACTTATAAAAATGCTGAAACTGAAACTATACCAAACACTTACTAAAAAGTTAATGAAATTAAAGGTTTAGATATTTAGAACAAATTCAATATGAGTTTTGACAAACAATCTTAGATATATTTAAAAAACTTCATTATCATTATTAAAACAAAAAGATTTAGCTAATAGATATGAAGTTAATGAGAATATAAGTAATGATATTTTAAAGAAAAGAAACATTTGCTTATACAGTAGATATAAAACTAATTTAAAATATGAAAAAAATACAACATTTTTTTTATTAAAGAAGCTTTAACTCTTTGAATAGAAAATATAAATATTTTACAATAGAAAAGATAGATATTACTTTAAAAATAAAAGTAAGATTTAGATTTTTTGAATATTTCTAATGTGTCAAAATATAATTTTATATATTGTCACCGGGAATAATCTTCTCTGATTACTTCACGTAATATATCTAAGTTCCTTTACTGCAGCAAGTAACTTCCTTATTGTCGGACTTTACAACCTTAGGGAATCTTACGTCCTACAGGTATCCGAAGTGCCTAGGAATTACTTCACTTGATTTACGAACTTAAGGGTTTAGGGACTTAGGAAATTTAGAGAATTTATATATTCTAAGTGAC